GTTAGAATACACCTGCAACACAAGCTACCTTGATATTTAATGTTCAAAATATTAGGTAGCTGAGATTGTTGAAAATTTGGAAGACTAATGTAGATGTCTTCAAGACTGAATTAACTTATGCTACAACATTGTGTCCCTAGAGAGGTAGTGTTATCAGATTTTGATTTTGTATATGTTGTAGTTCATTTTTATTTCAGTTAATTTTTATTTTTCCATCGTTTCTGGGTATGGTTATGTATGCTAATGAATTTAAAACAAAGGGAAACCAAAAATTAACTGAAATTAAAAATTAACTGCAACATATTGACACTAACATGTAACTCACCTAAATGTCACCTTTTTCTCCTTAAGTCGCCTAAAGTCGCCTTAAATCGCCTTAAGTCGCGCAACATTTTGACCAAATTTTCCTAAAGTCGCCTTAAATCGCCTTAAGTCGCCTAAAATTACGGCGACTTAAGGTCCCAGAGTAGGCCTTCTAGCGCTAGGGTAACCCTAGCAAGAGGGTTACCCTTTCTGTAAAGGCTCTGCTAGGAATAAATCACCTACCCTACGGACATGCAACTTTGGCCGTCAAGCGTTCTTGAACATTTGAATGGAGTTATCCAATTTTTCGAGCTAAATTTTAGACATCTAAACAATATTACATATTTTCTTTATAAGATGATAAAATCTGTCCTTTTTCCGTTAATTCAACTTGTTTAACATGGAGATCTTCAAGATTTTGTCCGAGTCTTGGACGTTACAAAGAATTTGAATTTTAGTCCTATGTAGTCACGCATGACGAAACACGTCAGTCAAACTTGTAAAGTTGACCTGTTTGATGAGTAACCCTATCTGGAAAATTTTGCTTGTAAACCAGAGTTATCTTAAAACCCTAACCCTTTAGCTAGGGTAACCCTAGCACGAGGGTTACGCTCCCTCCTTGTAAACAGGTCCTTAGGTCCTTTTTGGCACTGTTTTTTTCCACACACGACAAGCAAACAGTTGCGTGCAAATGAACCTACATCGTTGCCCAGCTAGCCCTTCCCCACTTTCAGTGTTGGACACATGTACACCAATTCATGTTGGAAAGTACAGAGGTGCGCGGCCCAAAAATTAGGGAGCTTCAGAGCAATGATCTTTGCACGCGCTTTATAATTGATGGGATAAAAGCAATGTCACGTGGTATTTCAGGGGGCAAACAAGTGATAAAATTTGCTAATACGAGTAGTTTGTTTATTCCCTCAAAACGAAACGACGATTTTCGTCTTGCTAAATGTACAGTTCGAGTTTCGACAAGTGTTATGTCATTATTGCTTGCTGTGAGCACACGTCCGGTCACAAGTAATAGTGATCACTTCCACCCATAATTGGCCATTTAAGATAAAAATTTCAGTTTTTGTCGTCCAGAATAAACAAACGCTGCCGAGATTTGTTGTATTGGTGGAGTAGTTTTCCTCCTGGGCAACCATGTGACATCGCTTTTATCCCATCAGCCCTTAAAAGCGTGCAAAGATGGTGGGTATCGTGAATAAGGTCTATTCGAGTTACTGACTTGCAGACATTTTTTTGTTTCAGGCCCCTGGATCAAAGTGAATAATTCAAGTCCAATATGCTTTGGTGCGGAAAACAACAACTTTGACAGTTTTTTTGTTCCATCTAGTGGCAAACTGGCATCAGTAAAACTGGTCCACCTGAACGGTACTGTGACATGCGATAACACCCATTGGTCCTTTTGGGGTTGCGGAGGAAACCGTCAAGATGTAAACGTTGTAATAAAAACCTTGCCTGGTGACACTATTTTATCCTTCAGAGAGTCCTTCACTAGTGAGGAGCAAATGGAGTCTTCTAAAGAGCTGGTGCTTTCAGCATGCTCCAATCCTCCATCCGTGATTGCAGGACAGAAGCTACTTTTAAGGTACGGCCAAAGTCCGCGGCAAATCACTGGAGGGAGGTCGTGCTGCGATGTTTATGTTCGCTTGATGTCGTAACTGAGAAAAGGCATCGAGACGCATTTGCTCTGTTCCGCATAATTAAGCATGATTGGAGTGGTGCTCCAACATAAAGGAGCTGTGTCACGGTCACGACACTGTCGCGAAAATTATCCAAATTCAAACATTAGGAACAGCCAAAAAATTAAGTTAAGCATGTAAGAATAATTTCCGGAGTAGTCAAAGGATAAAAATTGGTATCGATTTGACTGATATCGATTTTATCGATCAATAGGTAGATATCGATGACACACTCGTTTCGTTCATCGATTTCTCTTGATTTTCACCGATTTCATCGATCTACATCGGAAGATACATCCGTTCATCTGCTCATCAAAAAATGAAAACTAAATTCATGCAAACAGTAAATTTATTGACACTTGGCTCCGAGGCTTGGGGAATTGAAAACAAGAGAAGTGTATATTGCTAAGCCTCAATATGATTTCTTTTGTTTTATTCCACCAAGTCTTGGTGCCATGTCTGAATTTTAATACATGGAAATTGACCACTCCAGAAAATACCATTACATACCATAATGCTTTTTGTTTGTCACCCAAAAATTGTGCATAAGTATTGTCTTCAGTTTCTCTCGGGAGTTAAAATGGCCCCAAGAGAAACTGAAAACGATGTTTATGCAAAATGTTGAGGCGACAAACAAAGAGCATTATGGTATGTTATGGTCTTTTCTGGAGTGGTCAATTGGACTATTGAGTTGCAATTGAGAGTCGATGGATCAAAAAATTATCAGTTTTTAAGAAAAATGTTAAATCTTGCATCCCGGAGTAGTCAATAGATGAAAATGGGTATCGATAAAAATCGTTAGCAAAGAAGTGATTTTCATAGATTGAAAACGGAAAACGGTGAAAATTTATCTTAGGAAGTTTTTAGGAAATCTTTATCTAGAGTTGTTTTTCTCGTGATTACTTACCTGCAAGAACTGGATGAAATTAAACCAAACCGTTTTTATTATTATCTACAAAATAAAGGGTTTTAGAGAGAAACTTGCGTAATAGTTTCCACATTTCTCATTTTAATATTTGTTGATCAGAATTCCTCGTGGATGTGTTTTCTCATCTAACTTACGGTATGCCAAAAGACAACATAGCGTACCCCGGTTATAAATCGTTAAAATCATGAAAAACGGTAATATCGATTTCACACAGCAATTTAGTTTATCTATTTTTACCGATTTCCGTTATCAATCGATAAAAATCACTTGATTGCTACCGATTTTTATCGATACCGATTTTTATTGATTGACTACTCCGGGATAAATAACACAGATGAAATACAAAAAAAAAAGGAGGCACGGATGGGTAACCCTGAAAAAGATTCCAGAGGATTGCACGTGTAGTTACTGAAAACTCCCTAAGATGCTAAAAGTTCATTTTTGTTGTTTGTAATGTTTGATAATAATTTTTGGAAGACATATTTGTTTGACACGAAGCTTCCTATTTGACATTTACAAGTATTTCTGAAGTCTCCATAGCGAATTTACCCCATTTTTACAATTACTGGTAAAAAGGAGGCTGGAACTGACATTGTTTTGATACAAACCTTCCTTCTTTATTATGTAAATCATGTTTTTCTTATGCTAACTTGTGTTGACCACTCCAGAAAATATGATAACATACCATAATACTGTTTGTTGGTCACTCCTAAATTTTGCATAAGCATCATTTTCAGTTTCTCTTGGGGCCATTTAAAACTCCCAAGAGAAACTGAAGACAATGCCTATGCAAAATTTTGGAGTGAACAAAAAACAGTATTATTGTACGTTACGGTGTTTTCTGGAGTGGTCAATTTTTTAAGCAAAATTTCCATTAGGAAAGGAAAGAAATTGTATCAAACAACGTTAACCCACAACTGTAAAATGGCCTAATATAATTGTTGTAGTTAATTTTTTATCTCAGGTAATTTTTATTTTTCCTTTGTTTCAACTTCATTGGCAGACATTACCATGCCCAAAAACGAAATAAAAATAAAAAATACCTGAGATAAAAAAATATCTACAATATAAACAAGGTGAACAGGTTAAACGTGACACAGTCCCTTCGATTATTAAGCTAAGGGACGTTTCAGATAAAATTTGATAGATTAAGGTTCTTTTTTTCATCGCTTAAAAGTGTAAATGCAAGCTCAACGTGAACTCAATAAAATAAACTTTTTTACTATATTTTCCATTTTTTAATGCTTTCGTTTCTGGGGTCAAAGTCCCAATCAACACCACGGTAAAAGCCTGAAGTTACTGCTTGCGGTGGTGGGGTGGAGGCATAGCATAAGCATCTTCTCGAAGCACTTACCTTATTTGAGAAACCACTAGGTTTACTGTGTGGCCATATTAATTTGAGGCTGATCACGAATTACCGAACATTTCCTGTTCCGTGCATCAGCTAAAAGTCTTATTCATTACACTCGGCTAATCCAGTTATTTTTGTCACTTGGCAATTGTATTTTGAATAATAACAGAATAATATTCTGTGTGTCTTTTGAATTTTAATTTAAGTAATTTTTAAGTAGTTTTTCTGGAAGGAAGGGTGCATTGAAAGCAGAAACCTCCAACAAAGCACTGTTTGGTTTTTGCCCTTTTTTGTCTGGCCTTTGTTATCCTCGCCCTTAATTCCCCTCTTTTTGCCTACACAAGCATTGACATCCATTATTATAACCAGACCCAACTGACAAAGGTTAATAATGTAAATCATTATGATACTCCCAGCATTCAACAAAAAGTACAAGCTTTTGAGTAGATGTTCAAGTCACGTGAGTTTTGAAATCTTGCGAGAATCAGTTCGTACTCTCTCATTGGCTTTATCAACAGAATCTGATAGCAGGTCCAATTGTCGAAGCTGCCTGTTCTGTTCATCCTGTATTCCCAGTGCAAGACTTCTCATACCCTGCAGAACCTGCCCCATCTCAGCTGCTTCAGCATCTGTTACTGACTTGGAATTCTTTGCTGTACTGCTGTTAAACTGAAAGTCTCCTCGATCAGTGCTTGCATCATCGTTGTTATCTGTAATGAACGACAGGGTTATGTTAATTTGGTTAAAGTACTATTCAAGCCAAAAGAGCCGGACCTTGTTTGTATTGTTATTATTATTATCATTGTCACTCCTTTCCTTCTGAACTGGATATTAGTTTGTTACAAGGTCACCTGGTTAGGGCAGGGGGAGGGGGGAAAGGACAGGGAGGTCCAAGACTCCTTTCTCAGCTACCTGAAAACATCAGTGGGGAAAGAGTTAACACGAAGCAAAGCCCTAGCAAAAGTTAGTTGAACTGTATTGTTTTCAGCTACCCAAAATGTTGATTACCAGCACAATGCTGGGAAGCTTTCACAGTTCTGGCGTGCAAAAAAGACAAAACACTTTCACTTCTTCCCTTCTTCCCCTGGGCATTTGAAAAGCTTTACTTTATTGGGCAGTTTTTGCCAAAATAGCCTAAAGGAGATTTTGGTGGAAAGGGGGGAGGAGAAGAGATAAAGGAAGGACTGGCACAAAATAGGGCTTGATTACCAGCAACTGGTTTGGGAAATGAGCCTGAGCTGTCTGAGCTACTTCCTTTCTTCTCAGGGAGGAGCGAACCTGGACTCCAGAAAGCAGCAGAAATCAAGCCTGTCTCCCCTTTTGCTTCCCACCAGTCTCCATTCCCTCCAAAACACCAGATAATCAGGTTATTGGAAAAAAGAAACATTCCATTACTTAATTTGCTAAAGTGAAACAATAAAACAGCAGTTCTACCCCCTTAAAGGGGGAGGAGGGGAGGGGGGGTATTTTACAAAGTTTTATACTGGAAGGTTCTGCCCTGAGGTCCAATCCCTTAACCTTTTATAGACAACTTTGACAAAAACAGTACTCCTTCCAAACACCTTCTACTGACAAATGGTACCCCTTTCACAATGATATCCCCTTGCATCCTTTGAAATTGCTATTAGCCATTTCAGAGTTGCATAGGGAACTGGGGCGAGTTTCAAATTTAAACTAATCGATAAACTGACACAACCATATAAAAGGTCATGTTGAGATTGGTTATTTGACCAAGTTTGGTGCTCTAAAATTGAACAGGAATCAAGCTATGACTCTTGAAACATGGTTAAAGATCCATACAAACGTCTATAATTTTGTGACAGCGTCCCCCAAAACCATGTAAACTCTTTAAAATTTGTCATGCATCTACTACTTGGAAGGGACTAATTTGAAAATCACTGTGTTTGCCCGTTTTTGGGAATATCATGGAAATTGTTAAAAAAAGTCACTGGGTCATCATCATCATAATTAATTACTGTGGTGCCGTATGGGGTAATATCAATAAGGGACTAGCAGACAAACTTCAAAAGCTGCAGAATAGGGCTGCTAGAATTCTCACCTTTTCTAACTATGACGTTCGCTCAAGTGTTTTGTTGGATNTCCCATCAGTCTCCTTATCCCCCAAAACACCAGATAATCATGTTATTGGAAAAAAGAAACATTTCATTACTTAATTTGCTAATGAGTGAAACAATAAAACTGCGGTTCTACCCTTTTGAGGGGGGAGGAGGGGAGTGGGGGGTATTTTACAAAGTTTTATACTGGGAGCCTCTGCCCTGAGGTGCGACCCCTTAACCTTTTATATACAACTTTGGCAAAAAAGGTACTCCTTTCAAATACCTTCTATTGACCAATGGTAGCCCTTTACAAATCTAGTTTAGAACTTTGCATTTGCTGAATTCGTTGTCTTGCACACATAAAAGCTAAACTGTGCAAGGCCAACAAATGTCTACATGAGCTGCGAGTATGTAGAAAAGAGCGCTATAGCCAGACAGAAATTGATTATCTCTTCTATAGTATTGTTTTCCCTAACATAACCTATGGACTATCTGTTTATGGTGCCTCCGTTGTGGAAATTAATGTCCTTCAGCAATTTTTAGACAGATGCTATAAGTTACGCTTTATCTCTACACAGTTAAATATTAGATCATTACCACAAAAACAAGATAAAGCGATTTTTCAAAAAGCTAAACAGTATGATGACCACCCTCTGAAGGTGTGCTTACCGCAAGAAAAGAAGAATCTAACCTACAATCTTAGACGTAAAAGCTTCCAAAGGCCCAAGATAAACACCGTTATAAGAACACACTTGTAAATAGATTAATTTTTAAATACAACTTTTTATGATATTTTATGTCAGACATGTGTAACTACTTTTTCGCATTTTTTAATCTTTTTATTCTATTGTAATTTAGCTGAACTTTTAATCTTTTTATCCTGTAACATTGGATATGTATTTTTATCTAATGAGCAATAAAGACATTTATTATTATTATTTATCCTTTTTAATTGCTATACTTGCATTATCTTTAAAATACGACTTTTCTAACCACTAAAATGCATCTTTTAGCCCTTTTGGGCCTTTATGACAGATGTCTCTACCAATTGAAATACTTCAGCCAGCAAGATCTCTACCCTTTTATACTCCTGAAGTTTGAAAAAGGTACTCCTTTTGGGTGGAGCTTCCCCATATCGGCCATTCTAGGGGTACCCTTCCGGAAATTCCACCCACCTTGCATAGTAAGTCCATCTAACTTCTCCTCAGCATCTTCTTCAAATTCACCTAGTGGATCCTCATAGTTCACCTTCCCAGGCAACATGACCTCAAGTGTTTGAAGAATGTGCACTAACCGTGCTGCTATCAGATGCACAGACTGCCCAGTCTGACCAATCCTAAGCTGCAATATGGTCATCTCCCATGGTGTGTGAACACTGATTTCAGTGATTTCCCTCAGAGTAAAACTGATATCAAAATTTCTTTCCGCAGTTAAAATATCCACTGATTCATTTGATAGAACTAAACTACCGGGTAAGTGCTTTTCTTTCTGTGTCCTGGCATAAACAATGGGAAATTCAGACTTCTTTAGCATTGCATTGTTTTCTGGAACATCAATGTGCACATGTGGAGTTTCAACGTTCCATTTGTTTAACCAGGAATCTAGATTGTAAATTAAAGTCTCTGCCACGCTCAGGTCATTGTGAATCTTGTTTATATTGGAACAAGCCGCATCAATTTGCTGCCCCTGTTTGTGCACAGTCTTCCCAGCCGAAGTTAGTGTACTCTGTGCATCGTATAGGATATTGAGGAGTTTAGAGTTAGGTGGTTCCTCACCATCAGAGCTGAAAGATTAAATGAAAGAGCATTTTTTGGTAAAAGTAAATAAGGGATTCCCATACAAAAGTATTGATTACGTCATGAAATTGATTCGTATTTTGTGTCATGTACATGTAGAGGTTGGAATAATTATTTCTACGCACCTCGCAAATAACCTTTCCTTCCAAAAATGTTCGATTGTATTAAAAACATATCCACGATCAGAAAACGACGAGAACCAATATTTATCAGTGTTAACACGGACTGATATAGCCGCGTAAAATATGGATGTAGTTTCTTTTTTTAGCTCGAAGAAATCCTCATAGTATATTCGAAAATCGACGCAATTTCTTCCGTCTTTTTCTTCCAAAAAGCGAATACAACGAGTGTAGATTACCAAACGGCCATAGATCCATGTTTTGGTCCTATTACAATAATAAGATGCCTTCCAAACGCCAACTTTACCCATTTTGTTAGACAAATTGCAAAGAACCGAAAAACCAAAACAATCAAAAGTGTAAGCAGATATTTTGTACAGCGGTTTTTAAACCTTCGTATCGTCTAGAAATTCCGACAATCTTTCGAACATTGCCGAAGACTCGTACATGTCACTGGTTTGAACGGCAGTTTTGTACAATTGCTGTTCCTTTGCTTTGTTTTACATCCGTTTTTGATATGGCAAATGGAAATTCATATAGTGGAGATGAATATTCTGAGGAGGATGAAGAGGGAGAAGAACTGGATCCTCGTGTTCAGGTGAAATATAAACTGAAAGATTTACGGGAGTATTGTAAGCTATTTTAAGTTTAATCTTCACTGACTCAGTGACAAGCTTGAGAAATTTCAACTTCACTTTTTTTAACCCAGGACGAACTCGAAAAACTCAACGTCGCTGCGGAATCTGTCAACCATTTAGAAGCTGAACTTGATGTGAGTATGGAATGTCTGCTTCGTTTGTACCGATCTTTTTGTCGTCACGCAACGCTCCCAAGCTCATCTTTGTCATTTATATCTTCCCCATTAGATCAGAGAGTTTGCTTAGCGCTAGAAAAGGCCAAATTAGTTTACAAAAATGTACTATTTTTGAATCCCTGAATCCTTGCATGTTACAGTGTTGCTTAGCTCAGACCGATTAGTGTTGATTTTCAATCAACAATGATTTGACTTACCGTATTTATTCGAATAAGCGCTCAACCTCGAGTTAGCACCCGCCTCGAATAAGCGCCCATCCTAACGGTAGAAAAAGTTAATAAGTGCCTAGCCTCGAATAAGCGCCCCCCCCACCCCACCCCCCCCCCCCCCCCCCCAAACCCAAAAAACGGCACCCACCCTGTTTTTTGTTTTTTTGGAAATTCATCCCCCCCCCCCCCCCCCCCCCCCCCCCCTCCCTTCTCCTCGCTCCCCCTCCTCCCTTCTCTCTCCTCCCCCCCCCTTATATCACTTTGCATCTTTGT